GTCGTTTCTAAGTCACCAATTTAGTGCTACTTGGTCCCAATGGAATTTCCCATTGGGAACCTACTAGCACTAAGTTGCTAACTGTTTAGCAAGATGCTTCCAACAAACCGGCCACAACCAAACGAACCTTCCGCCTCAACAATCCCGCCCCCCTTGATAATCGACCAATCACATTCACTTTATTCACTCGTTCGAATTCGGAAATGCAACGGTTGGAACAGCCGCTTCCCTACGACTAAATGTTTATTGAGTCAGATATGTGGCAGATAATGTTTGGTTTATTTAAAGGTTTTATCTGTCTTTATGCAAATGAGTTTAGCTGACATTTAAGCTCAGATTCCAATATCTCTGCAGTGTGGGGATTAAATCTAATACAATATAAATCTAAACAGAGACATTGGATTATATAATTCTACCACAAATGGTTTGGTTGTTCAGTGATCAAATGCTCAAAAGTTCAGAGCTAACAGACTATCTGACTTTAGAGGAAAATTTGATCTTAATGAAATGTCAGTTGATGCCTGATGGCTTTTTGGAAGATTTCTGTTCATAATTACAGATCAGCAGTTATTTTTAAAACACTCCATCTTGATTAGATTTTGATTTTGATTTTTCTGCTGCTTTCTGCTCTGCACTGCAAGGACCTGTGGCTTCCATACTTCACCATAACAACAGATATCACTGCTTCCTCCATGAGAGTTCACACTGACGGTGAGTGAAATCCTCAAATCAATCGTCCAACAATTGATTCATAGCAATAAACTATTTTTCCTTTAGGATTAAAACCTTCAGAAAAGTGCAGCAATTAAAGAGCAGCTGATTGATGAATAGATATGAGCCCAGGAGGAGCCAAACTTTTATGTTTTTGGTCACTTTTTTAGGGTCGAACATTTTATGAGGTGAAGCCTTTTTGTTTCTCTTGGTCTTTCTGAAATGTGAAGCCAATTTAAAAATAAATTGAAAGATTATAAAAAAGCAAGAATAACAGAATAAAAGAAAATACACATAAAAACAATGATCAATGACAGATTATTTCCTTATTTAATGAGTCATTTTGTTTGTTTTGGTTTAGATTAGATTTTTTTTTTACTTTGTTGACTGAAGAAAATCCCTGGACTCTCCTTCTGCTTAGGTTCTCTGTGGCGTTACGTCCGTGCCAGTATGTCACTGTCTGGTTACCTGCCGCCTCTCTGCGATCCCAAAGATGGACACCTGCTCATGGATGGGGGGTACATAAACAACCTCCCTGGTGAGAACCGCTCAGCGGCTGGTGTGCTTTACAGCTTTCACTGTGTTTCAGCAGGACTACAAACAAAAACATGTATGGATATGAGACCAGTGCTCAATATTGGGTGAATAGAAGGTTGAGGGAAACTGATCAGTGTTTTTCTAACCTTTTTTAATATTAAAATTCTGATATTGGTTCAGAGTTTTTATGTAAAATGTCAGAGGAAATCCCAGATGAGATTTGAAATGTGAGGCGAAAGAGGCTACAGCTTCTCTTCCCTCTGGAAAGAGGCTTCGCAGCGTCCAATTCAGAACCAGCAGTTTCTGCAACAGCTTCTTCCCCACCGTCATCAGACAGCTGAACGGTTGGAAACGGTTGTCGCAGACTTTGCATCACACTGATAACACCAAACCTGTATATCTGCACCATATATTCACGCTCTGAACTTGCGTGAATATATGGTGAAACAATGCGTTTTTGCACCATGTTTTTTTTTTTTCGACACTGTTTATATTTGATCACTGCTCGCTTTATGAAATGGAAATGTTATAAAAGCTATACAAAACGAAACAACAATAAATGTTGTCTTAAGTCTAAAAAATAAAAGTAATCAGAAGAGGAAGCCATATTGCTAAATTCTATGGAGTGAATTTTGTTCCATTATTGTTGTAGGCAAAGAACACCTTTTGTAAATGGAAAATTAAAATCTCATCAGCTGTTGGCACATCTTCACTGTTTTCTACGACGGAGTATTAGGTACGTACGACGGAGTATTAGGT